AAACACGATAGTATTCGGATACTCGCCGAAGCAAAGTTGAACAGCATTGAGGATCATATTTCAACAGCAATGGCCGATTGTAAGATATCCGAGGATGAGTTTCGTTTAGTGCTGTCGGAGCTCACCAAATACAATGAAATGAAGCAGGAGATTCGATCAAAATCTCGTAAGACCAGTGGTATTAGCGAAGACGAGAAAAAAAAGTTCATAGAACAGGGGAGGCAACAAGCGCGTCAATTATTCCGTGCCAAAACCAAAGAACTGGTTGGAGATTAAAAATAGATTGTTTACTATCGTGTGATTACATTTAGACAAATGCTAACATAAATATATAATAATGGAGAAAGCTATTCAATGGAAAGAATTACCACAAGGTTTTTATTATATCAGTGATGTCAAACCAACCAAATATGGTTATCAATTGTTTCTTATCAATTTACAAAAAGAGTGTAGTTATATAGTCTGGTCTCCTAGTAAAATGAACGAAGAACTTAATAAAAATGTTGAATATCGCTTTATCGATAAAAATAATAAAGAATATTTTTATTACCATTTAGACTCATCTAAAGCAATGATTGGCCCCAGGTATTGGTGAGCTAGGGTCAATTTAACTTAATCTTATGACTATCGTTGAATCGCATAGTCATTTTGGCATAAAAAATTCCATCTGTAGTAGCAGTATAGGTATATGAATCCGGCTCCAGTGGAAGTGAGCCAGAACCCCTATTACCTATACTACTGCTATCAATGATATTTTAGTATTTGTGATTATATTATCTGTCTTGTTATTGAATAATCTTTAGCTTGATAAAAAACCTTTTCCCGTGAAGTCACGTGATAACCAAATATGGGATAATAGCCTCGATCCAAATGTTACAACGCATACACTTGAGCAGATATAACTCATGAATATTAATTAGACCGTTCACTACGTTCACAGATCGTTATTGTAACAGAAACAAACGCATGTTTTCCATGTATATCTAAAATGATATTATTTGTTATTAATTGTCCAGTGAATTAAACAATTTAGATTGAAATAATTCATCATATTATGAATACGTAACAACTTGTAATGTGTGTGAAAAGTCGTACTAGAATACACTATTTGAAGGGGGCGTGGCCTAAATGCAAATGTCCGATTGGGATTTTAAATTTTCCGGACCCCTGCCCAACACCATATAAAATTTGGTTTAGCATCAATTTCCTCTAGTGTGTTTTCAATGCGTTTCAGTATATAAAGAGGTGGAATCTGATTGGTCAATAGGAGGGACTTAGAAGGGACATAATCAGTAATTGTCACTGGTGGAGCTACGATGGAAGGATGAAATTTCAGCGTAGTTTGGCAAGAATGGAAATTGGACTTTAACAGTCAGTCGACTCCCTTGCCCTGGGAAGATGCCATCACACCTACAATATTGCTAATCTTGAGCCACCAAGAGCAAATAACTCCTATAATATTGGGGCGGTTGCCTCGACGATGGTTCCACACGATAACTGTTCCATTAGAGCCATCATAGAAGGATGTTTTTGGAGGTCTGACTCGGGCTTTGCCAGCCACAACCTGAGGGAAATGGCTTTAGACAGCGAGGGTAAATATGCAATGGTGTACTGATGATTGAACTGTGAGCAATTTGCTTTGAGGGAGCATTCATTTAGCAGAAAATGTATTTTATTTAAAAAAATTCCTTCTTGTAACAGTCACCCATGAAACAGATCAAAGAAGATTTGAGTAAATAATGTAACAGAAAAGTGTCCATCCTCAGGCATCCTGTGAAAGCCCTTGGCTTGTTGGTGTTGTATCTTTGTGTATATTTGTCAAATCAAAAACTTCTTGGAAAATATCAGTAAAAGTATTCATATTGAATATATGTTTAATTTTTCTCAAAATATCTGCAATCAGTCACATATTTCCACAAGACTGGCGACTCAGGTTTGATTCCTTTAACAAAATATGTCTTTCCCGTTTCATGTTTTTAAACGTTACAATGCAGAAGAAAAAATGCATGTATTTTTTACAAACTATTTCCTTTTTTCATTGTGGATTTAGATGATTTATCTGAAAGTAAGTTAGATAAAATCAAGTCATTCATGTCTTTCCCGTAACAATATGTTTTCCATCCCATAACAAAATGTCCTTCCTGTAAGGATGACGTTTTTGGTCACATATACAACTACTACTGTATTCAATGGTATATCAGATCAAATATTTCCCATAGACATTTTATCATTGGCGATTCAGGTTTATTCTGATGGCTATATATACACCATTAGGGAATCGAGACAACAATTATATGGGTTGACAATACAATAACACATATATCTTACAGCATTTCTATACAAGAAATATTGCTTTTGGTATTGCGTTATTATAAAACTAAGTCCTAATATATAAAAGATCTGCATTCAAAGTTTGATTATCCCCCGCCCCAATGAAGTTGGCGGGGGATATAGAAATGGGTTCCGTCCGTGTGTGTGTGTGTGTGTGTGTGTGTGTGTGTGTGTGTGTGTGTGTGTGTGTGTGTGTGTGTGTGTGTGTGTGTGTGTGTGTGTGTGTGTGTGTGTGTGTGTGTGTGTGTGTGTGTGTGTGTGTGTGTGCGTGCATGTGTGTGTGTGTGTGTGTGTGCGTGCATGTGTGTGTGCATGAGTGTGTGCATGTGTGTGTGTGCGTGTGTGTGTGTGCGTGTGTGCGTCCCGAAATTGTTTCCGGAGCATAACTCAGAAACCGTTAAATAATTTCTTACAAAACTTTGCATGTTTACCAGACACATACTGAACTGGTGCCTTTTGCTATTTAGGAGTTTTATAAATTTTTATGTTTTACGTTTCCATGGCAACAAGTTGGACTTAAGTTTTAATATAGGATTGGTTTACTTAAGTAGTATAACAAAGAAACTGTTAAATATTTCCTTGCCAAACATTGCATGTCTATATATAAAGCGCATACTGAACTAGTGCCATTTGATATTAAGGAGTTTTAGAAATGTTTATTTTAGAATTTCCATTGCAGCTATTTTGACATGGGCTAAGAGAAATGTTGGGTCAGTTAACTGGTTTGGGACCATAATGTGTTAAAATGGGCGGGGGATATAGATGACTTTGTCAACTATACGCTTGTTATTTTTATATCGGTTTTTAATATTTCCTACAAAGACAGTTTTGTTACGCGAAGGACATATGACCATGGTAACCCAAGTACAGACAGGACAACCTAATGAAAGTAAACACTATTGTGACATTGTGCTGGATGTTCATTATTTCTGTACTATGTATTGAATCATCTATCCAGACCAACGAATAAATTGGCTCTACTCATTCATTTGTTTTGTCACACTTCACACTTTTGAAATTTGACGTATTTTGATATTGACACACAAAGTGTATCAACTAATACAAATGTTCAGGGATTTCATTTCTATTCTTTGTTTTGAATTTAAAGTATTTTTGGTTTCATTTAACTTTGACTCAAATAAATATGGGCTGGAGAGTTTAGTGAGGGCCTCATTATCAATGAGGAGAAATATGAAGTCATCCCACCAAATTCTGTCTATTTCATCTGAAGACAGTTCAACACAGCCGGATGGCAGCAAATATAGTTACTGGTATACCAAGCTTTCTCAGGATATTTGTCAGTTCAAAAATTGCAGATGTTAAAGGATCTTCTAACTTGAGTCAAAAGTCTTTGACAGTTTCTTTAACAGATTTTGCTTCTTCCCTTTACTTTGATTCCCGACATGGGTAAAATGTGTGCAGCCCATTTCTGGTGTCCCCCGCCGTGATATTGCTGGAATACTGCTAAAAGCGATGTAAAACCATACTCACTCACTCACTCTTCCCTTTACCTCTTTGTTGATGCCTCCCTTCATCACATTGCTCGTGAGAGATAATCTAATGTTTTCCAGCTGTTAACAACTCATTCATAGGATCTCAACCCATTCCCTTAGTGACAACAATCAGGAGCCCTCTGCTGCCTATTGCCAAAGAAAGATGTTCAACCTAATTAGGCGTTGATGTAGTTTGTGGCTGATATCCTCCTTCATCTTCTGAAGTACAAGAAACTATGTAGGGCTGCAATTGCTACTTACATACAATCAACACTGTATTGGCTGCTTCAAGGACTCACATGGTCAGCAAAGCACCAGAGATTGCCGCTATTAACAAGAGTTTCTGGCCACAAGATAAATGCCAGAAGTTCTGAGAGAGTTTGCACTGTTCTCTTTCCTACTGGGTACCTGCACAAGGTGTGATACATGGAGCTTCACAATGACCCAACTTCTTGTGCTGATGATACTGGAAAGTGAACGCACCTCCTGGGCAAAGTAAGTCGATGGAGTCCAACTGTCATGATGAGGGATGATGCAACAGTTTCCAGAACTCTAACTGCACACTGTCATATCAGGATTAGGAATAATTGACAAAAATCTAATATTTCGTATATTATATGCCTCTCCTGATGTGACTGGAATAAGCCTGGCCCAGCCACCCCATACCCAGGTGTCTGTCCGGCCTTTGGCAAGACAGAAGCAAGAGGAAGATCAAGGGAAATAACTCTGAACTAGTGACCGTAGCCCTTTGTATGTTTGAGTGAAGACTTTTCACGCTGTGTTTTAGATATAGGATAAATGTATGATATATAAAATACTAAATTTCTGTACATTAGTTATTGCAAACAAAAAACATTTAACATTAACATTGTAGTATTGAAGTAACATGGTACAATTCACTTGAACATCTGAAATTATTGATTGTCACCAGATGGTTAAGATTTTCTCAGGCCTCTGTCATGACCAGCCTCCAATGCTGAGGCTGGATACTGATTGCTACAACACAGTTGATGGATATATGGTAACAAGTGGGTCCTGGGGAAGTCCGTAACAAGGCCCCATCTCTTAGGTAATTACCGAGGGCAAGATGCTCAAAATGATTGTTCATTTGAACACACATTACTTTTAAGTTTGTTTCATATTTACATGTATGACAGATGTTTTCTTTCTGATTAGACGAGGAGAATAGCATCGTGGCTAGCAGAGAAGATGACCAAGGAAGGGCACGCTGTGGGATTGTTGTCAGGGGAGCTGGCCATTGAACAAAGGGCAGCCATTATACACAGATTTAGAGATGGCAAAGAAAAGGTGCTGATTACAACCAATGTATCAGCCAGAGGTAAAGCATAACAAATTGCATGCCAATCGGCAACCCTTGGATAGAAATAACAAGCTTTCTTATTGATCTATTATAGATGATACCATTTGGCAACCCTTGGGTAGAAATAGCAAGCTTTGGTATTGATCTATTATAGATGATACCATTTGGCAATCCTTGGATAGAAATATCAAGCTTTGGTATAGATCTATTATAGGTGATACTATTTGACAACCCTTGGATAGAAATATCAAGCTGATAATAGATTATAGATGATACCATTTGGCAATCCTTGGATAGAAATATCAAGCTTTGGTATTGATCTATTATTGATGATACTATTGGGCAATCCTTGGATAGAAATAGCAAGCTTTGTTATTGATGTATGATAGATGATACCATTTGGCAATCCTTGGATAGAAATATCAAGCTTTGGTATAGATCTATTATAGATGATACTATTTGGCAACCCTTGGATAGAAATATCAAGCTTTGGTATAGATCTATTATAGATGATACTATTTGGCAACCCTTGGATAGAAATAGGAAGCTTTGGTATAGATCTATTATAGATGATACCATTTGCAACCCTTGGGTAGAAATATCAAGCTGATAATTGATTATAGATGATACCATTTGGCAATCCTTGGATAGAAATAGCAATCTTTGGTATTGATGTATTATAGATGATACTATTTGGGAATCCTTGGATAGAAATATCAAGCTTTGGTATTGATCTATTATTGATGATACTATTTGGCAATCCTTCGATAGAAATAGCAATCTTTGGTATTGATGTATTATAGATGATACTATTTGGCAACCCTTGGATAGAAATATCAAGCTTTGGTATTGATCTATTATAGATGATACAATTTGGCAACCCTTGGATAGAAATAGCAAGCTTTGGTGGTGATATAGATATACCGTTTGGCAACCCTTGGATAGAAATAGCAAGCTTTGGTGGTGATATAGATATACCATTTGGCAACCCTTGGATAGAAATAGCAATCTTTGGTATTGATGTATTATAGATGATACTATTTGATATCACCGGTAGATTCCGAGAAAACGTGTGTACAGCTGATGGCTGCTTCTGGCTTCATTTATAAATAAGATGATACACACGGGAGTCTCAATCTCTGCATATAAAGCCCCTATCTCACATTCACGAATCTGAACACGATTTAACGTTTTTCCATAAATCGTGTTAGAACGTATGAAGGTCGCGCACTCATTCATGTTCATTCATGTTAAGTCTTGGTCGGTTGCACGCGGTCGTATGGACGTCGCAGCTCAGCTTAAATCATGTTATAAATTTTTGCATTGCAAAAATTTATAACATGATTTAAGCCGAGCTGAAAAGTCGTGTTCAATCCTATGAAGGTCGTATGACAGTCGTGTTCAATCGTATGAAGATCGTGTTCAGTCGTATGAAGATCGTGTTCAGTCGTATGAAGATCGTGTTCAGTCGCGTTCAGTCGTGTTGGGGAGCGTGGGAAGAAACTCATACGACTTTCATACGTTTTAACACGAAATCCATACGTTTGTCATACGACCGGAAGAGCCCATCACGTGACTGAGTGAGAACATGGGAAACCCCCTGAAAGTGAAAGCTCATTCTACAGCCATGCCAAACCTCAGGCAGCCGAAACAGAAGCTCAACAACCATGGTCGGACCCACAATCTCTTCCTGTTCCCCACTCTGCGACGCCTATGCTGCCTCCTACCCCTCACCATCAAAGCCATAGCTACCAGAAGTACTTCCTCATCCTCCAAAGCTGCTTCTTGCGGGTCTCGTTCGTTGTTGAACTTGGTGAAGACTGACACAGAAATGCTGTTGCAATGCAGCTTATATACTACATGACCCACGTGACCAAAATAAACCAAAATATGTCGTATGAAGGTCTTGCTCAGTCGTATGGAGATCGTGTTTATTATCCCCCGCCACGAAGTGGAAGGGGGATATAGGATTGGGTGCCATCCGGCCGTCCTTCCGTCACATTTCGTTTCCGGAGCAGATCTTGAAAACCGTACCATATTTCTTCACCAAACTTGGCACATAGATAGATCTAGTGGTGAACTGGTGCCTTTTGATAGTTTGGGATTTTTCAAAAAGTTATTTTTATAGTTTCCATGGCAACGACTTTGATTTAGACTGAAAATGGCAGTAGTCCTCGTTTCCGGAGCAGATCTTGAAAACCGTACCATATTTCTCTACCAAACTTGGCACATAGATAGATCTAGTGGTGAACTGGTGCCTTTTGAAAGTTTGGCATTTTTAAAAACAATATTTTTTTAGTTTCCATGGCAACGACTTTGATTTAGACTGAAAATGGAGGTAGTCCTCGTTTCCGGAGCAGATCTTGAAAAACGTACTATATTTCTTTACAAAAAGGCCCAGTGAACATAGTTCAAAGGAGCTAATGCATTGCACACACCCGACATGTCATATTGGTGGGGGATGTGAGTATTTCATGCTTGTTTTTGTAGTCGTATGGACATCATAATGAATCGGGTTTAATCGTATCGCGTGTTAAGTCGTATGGGCGTCATATGACGGTCTTGTTTGGTCGTATGACAGTCGTATTGGGGTCGTGTTAAATGAGGTTAAATCGTGTTGTATGGTATGAATATCTTATGACGGTCGTATGAGTGTCGTGTTCAGTCGTATGAGGGTCGTTTTTAGCCGTATGAGGGTTGTGTTTGGTTAAGAAATTTGCATAAACCAAAAGGTCGAGCACGAATCAACACGACTTTTAAACTTGTCTTAAATCGTGTTTCGCAATTTCTTAAATCGTGTATTTGAGATAGGGACTTAAAACAATGGCTAACAGAACAGGAAATATGATTTAATCGGTCAATCATCATGTCTAGTGATGTTTTATCTCAAATTTTGAATTTTTTATTGACCAAGTTTAATTGTTATGATCTGTTAGTTTCGCTGAAGGGATATGATGTAATTTTTTTCTGCGGAAGACATATACTCAACAACAAAAGTTCCTGTAACACCAATATTTTAGTGTATTTTTCAAACAAGTAAAGTTTTGTGTTCAATATTGTAGTACATGTATGGAATCAAGTCACAAAAACGCAACTGCTACAGAAAAGCATGCATTCCATGCAAAAGTTGACTTTTATGCAAGCCCCATGCATTTCGCTACCCAAGAATGGGTATAAAAACATATGTGCCTCAACGGGATTCCATATGCATTGCTTAGCATCGTGCTGACAACAACCACTCAGAAAAACAACAAAATGACGCAATTATTCAACATTACGAAATGCCACAAACTGAGTGTCTGCGAGCCATTGGTATGCTTGAAGCAGGATCGAGTCAACATGATGTTGCAAGACAATTTAACGTCAACAGAAACACCATTTGGTGTTTATGGCAACCTTGGCAACAGACTAATGCAGTCAGAGACCATCCTTGGAGTGTCAGGCCACGCGTAACCAATAATAGACAAGACAACTGGATTCGAACAACACACCTATGAAATCGATTCCAGCCAGCAACAGTGACTGCAAGAAGCATCCCTGGCCTTCGACGAAAATCTTCACAAACTGTACGTCGTCGCCTTAGATGTGCAGGGAATGTCGCCAGAAGACCTCCATACGCCCCATTTTGACAGGGAACCACCATCAAGCACGTCTACAGTGGTGCAGGCAGTGTCTACGCTGGACGGCCATGCAGTGGGGACAAGTTCTATTCACTGACGAGTCTCGTTTTCACCTCAGCCTTAGCAATGGACGGATTCGAGTGTACCGACGTCGCGGTGAACATTACATCAATCATTGTTTTCATGGAAGAAGATCGGTTTTGCATGGTCATGGCCCAGGCATTACCTTTCATCATGACAATGCCCGGCGTCATATTGCTCGACTTGTTCAGGATTCTCTTCAACAAAACAACGTGAATGTCATCCCCTGGCAGGCTCGCTCCCCTGATCTCTCACCAATCAAGCACATGTGGGATGAGATGGATCGGCGTCTTCGACGTCAACCACGTGTTCCACAGACACTGCAGGAACTTCGAAACATACTCTAGCAGATATGGACAGATATCCCACAGGACTTTGTGCGACGCCTGAACCATTCCATGAGACGAAGATGTGTTGCTTGCATCACAACCAGAGGTGGACACACACTTTATTGATTTGTAAATTGACATTTTGGCATGTTCATATTTTTTTTATGAAATCACGCATTTATGGCAAATTAAACCATTTGAACACTTACAGGAGTCTTTTCTCTATTGCCAACCGAAATTGTTTCAGATTTGGTAAAAAACATAACTTTGCATTAAATCTTATTCAATGTCACAGGAACTTTTGTTGTTCAGTATATGTTTTTATTTCAAATGTAGGTGATGTGCTTCATTCCATTTCACTTTACAGACGGGGTATATAAATTAGTATCGATTTTTTTTTTTTAAAGGCTTGTATATCTCAAGGATATCATTTATGTGTTTCTTTTATGAGCAAGGGAAATCATTTTTGCACATTAGTATGTTGTGTCAGGGGTCAAGGTCATCCTCTAGGTCATAGCCTGAAAACACTTTGTTTACTGCCTAACTCGAAAAGGATTTTCTGAAGCTTAAACCTGGTATCTGTCATCCTTGGGGTGGCTCTCCGATCTGACACGGTTGAGGTCATTCATAAAGTATGTTCCGTATTTTCACTTAAATGCCTTTTTTTACATTCTTTATTAAGTGTTAAGCAGGTTGTGGTTATATCACTTAAATACTACTTATGTGCCACCAAAGATGATAATCACTGTGGCCAACATTCCACTGTTAGAAATTGGCACCAGTACTATAGTCCTCCAAACTGCCCAGTATTTAAGGTATCATGAGGATCAATAGAAATTTGCAATTTTTAAGGGTTTTGCTATTTGTTATCATTGTAAGGACTAGTGGACTAAAATGTTTTTTTCTACCCCTGCTTTCAGTCAAGAGAATATTCCTTTTTTCGTTGTTAAATTGAATTCCACCAAGTGATATAATATTTGATTTGTATGGTGGATAGCCCTTAGTAAGTTTAAATTAACTCCCAAGATCATGAATTCAAAAAATATGTTTGTGATAACTCAAGGAGTTTATTGTAGGTCAAGGTCACTTAAATGCACATTTGTTAGGTTGTTCTGCGGAACTAATCCTGTGAGAAAAGTAAAGAGTAAGCACCCATCTCTCAGCTGGAAACAACCAAGCATGTGATTGGCAGAAATTGGGGATCAAGGTCATTAATCCGGAAGTGCATATGACTTTATTAAAGTAGCTTTGTGTTTTTAAGATGTCTTGCAAAAAACATGCATATTTCCAAACCAATGAGAGAAATTGTTATACAAGAAGTACATGTAACATTCTTGTTAATGTATCTTGATGCATGGGACATCCTGTGTCAAGTTACACTGCATGTGCATATGGCATATATTTTTTCAGCCGAAAATGCATAGAATTTATTCTTAATAATGTTTTATAGGCATAGGATTCTCTATTTGAAAGTTGTATGTGTGTTTTCCCAAACAGTAAGTGATGCCATTAAACCAGAAGTGTATATAACTTTGTGGTTAAGGTAGCCATTTAGCACAGGACTGTTTCAAAGTAACTGTTGTTCTACATTGGGCACATGTTTTCCCAAACCAGAAGTGATGTAATTATGATGGAAGTGTGTTTATGGCTTTGTTGTTAAGGAAGCTAGAGGAAAAGGAGATTCTGTTTCAGAATCGTACTGCGTACTGATTTTTCCAAAACCAGAATTGATGTCATTAATTAAATCAGGAGTGCGTTAAATTCTGAAAGGTACATCACAAATAATATTACTTTTTGAGAGATATCGGCATGAAATAGTCCAGCTGGATCTCTCTCCCCCACCCCCCCCATCCCCCCCATCCCCCCCTCACACACACACACACACACCACACCCCACACCACACCCTCACAAATTCATGGATACTGCATCATAACATAAGTCTGCAATAGCCTACTGCATCAAGATTGATATAAGTATTGGGAATTTGATTGTCATCAATTGTGTTCTGTTGTAGGTATTGATGTGGAACAGGTAACAGTTGTGGTCAACTTTGACCTGCCCACATTGGATGGGAAACCTGACAATGAGACATACCTACACAGGATAGGACGGACAGGCAGATTCGGCAAGAATGGCATTGCAATCAACATGGTGGACAGTTCTCGCTCTATGAACACTATGAGATCTATAGAGAACCACTTTGGTAAGTGGAGGAAAAGTTCAAAACATTTGATCATCCATTATTATTATCATTTCATTGCAAGCAAGTGCCAGAGTAAAGGGTCTGTGTCTGGGGTATTAGAAACTGAAAAGCAGTGAATGTGTGACTTCTGGAAGACTAGGTAATTACTTGGCCCACTACCACACAATGTTCGGACTGCTACGATCACTGTAAGCCTGAACGCTTCTGTCCAAGGCTTCTGCAACAATCCACTTGCACTTGTAGGCTAAGGTCTTCTTAGCTACAATCAAAATTTACCATTGGTCCGCAATTTATTATGAAAAGGAGGCTATGGGAGGCTATTGTAGCCTCAGACTGTATGTTACGAAATTGCAAGAGACTGTGTGTTTCGAATAAAAACATTTCATGTTTGTACCTGTGTGTGAATGTGTGTGTGAGTGCCACGACCCTGTGAGCACCTTGCCCAAAGTAATATTCTGAGCCTTGAGCAAGGACCAGTGAGGCCCATTTTCACTTTGTCGTTTAAGCTGATGCTTTTTTGGTGATCATTTACAATCAGATGTAAGTGAGGGTGATGGGAATAGGGTTATTCAAATCAGAGAATGACCTTAGATCAGTGAACACGGCACAGCTCAAGTAAATGTTTTCAGGTAAAGATACTGTACCACAGTTAATCTCAGCCGCTTCAACTGTGAGAAAGTGATTTTGTGAGACTTTTGGCATTAGAACATTTTCATGATTTGTTGGACTAGTTATAGGGCTTTGTCCATTTTTCTCAACAATAAATATCTAGTGACTTGCATGCCTGCAGACGTTTCCTGCCTGGTTGTGTATATTGTCCAAATGTTGCAGTGTAGATATACTCTTAACTTTTCAGACACCCCTTGTAATTTCAAAATACTCATGCTGTTTTATTGTGGAGAAACTTCTGTAAATTCCATTGCATATTCTTTTTTACCCTTTTGTTATGATTGTTTACCTCTGAAATATTCTGGTGAGTAACGGAGCCTTCTTTAATACCGTTATTTCCTTTGACATCATACACATTCTTTGTTTGCATTACAGGTCGGAAAATCACAAAGTTGGATGCCGATGATGCTGAAGAGATAGAGAAAATCAGCACCTGAGAAGCAGGTGGACAAATATGATGAGAGAAGTACCCCTCCTATCATGATCACTCATTCGTCCACCTTGATGAGCTGCTGGGCAGCACGAGTTGTACCACTGATACTGTACTTGAGCTGAACTGTATCTGCCACTGCCTCAAGCAACACGGAACCCTGCAGCACACAGATGCCTCTATTGTCATCAAGTGTCGTGGCTAAGAGACCACCAGGGCAGGTTAAAAGAAACAGGTTCAAAAACTACCTTGGTTTTGCTGTCAACTTATTTTGTTGACAGTTTTGTTTTTCCATAATAACTCCACGTGAATGTTCAAATCATTTTCAGGAGTTACTGTGGACGTAAAGATGAGATCAGGAAAGCAATTTAATGAAACTTAAACAGACATTTTAGTTCCATAAAGCAGATATTTTTAATTGGTATGTGAAGGGAGACTATTCTAGAACTATGTTGAATGTATATATGATGCTTTTCTTGGAATCAACATAAATGACAATAAAGTTAATATCAAGTAAAAGCTTCAGTTGCTTCTTCCAGCGGGATGTTGTGTTTGTTGACTGACAATGTGATGCTGCAGCAAGTAGGAGTGATGCAAGTGTGCTTTTCAAGAAGGAAATAGCAATTCTTGACCAGTTTTAATTTTTTTAAACATTTGTTTTTACATTGGTCTAAAAATCTTTTACTTCAAACTGAAAATTGTCAGATATTATAAGAATCCAGAAAACTTTTTATGATTATTAGCATGTAGACAAAAACATTGTTTGGGACTTTGTGGTATAGATCCATTGATCTTATTTGCCATATTCGCCATATTCGCCGTATTAAGTGCCTTGCTCCAATACACACCCCTTGACCAACTTTTAGAACAATCTGTAAGTAACTTTTAATAGCACCCTCCACTCTGACCCCAAATTGACATGACAGTCCATATTTTGTTTTGTGTATTGTTTGCTGTAAACAGCTGTGAACAAGGAACTATTACATATTCTGTAATTTGGTGAGGTGTGCAAACTTGGTTCATGTTTGGCAATAATGGAGGTGTTATGGGGATTGATACCATTAGGAATAAAATGTCTGTGTATGTCCACATAGGCATAGCATGTTTTAGCTTTTTTTAACATTTCATTGGTGCTCAATTATGTACTCTTCTGGTAGTTCTAACGGTATTACATTTATTCAAAATATGAAAGTCTATCTTTTCACAGAATATCCAAGCAACGATATGAAAACGTTGATGCTTTTAGTATGTTAAGATCTTTGATTTAAATTTTTGGATATTCCGCAAAGAATAATTTACTCAGTGATCTGCAGAAGCCAATGGCTCATGCTTTTTAAATTTAAATTCAATATTTTGCTATTTCCTCCGTCAATAAGTACATCTTTTTACATAATTCTTAGTGATTCAAAGAAAAAGTGAATATATAACGATTTTTGTATTTTGAATGTGTAGGAGGAATTCTTATAGTTGTGACAAGATGACATGTACTGAACCACATATTTGCTTTCCAGTGTTTAACCAGTTAACACTGTCATTCTTCAACAGTGATTTGTCTGCACAATGATCAATTAGCAATCCCAAATTGTTGCAGTTTTTCAAAGATCAATCCGCCAGTTTCATGGCTTCTTTTGGGAGAAGGAAATCACCAAACTTTCATGCTTATTTGAGTACTCTCCTTGTCAGTGTACATAACAGATGTCGCTATTGTAAGTTGTTTGTAATACTTGTAAATAAACTGTGAAATGTTGTCTGTGTTTATTTAACAATTAAGTCTTGACCCTTGTGGCACAGTCATCTGTCTGGTAAGAAGTTCCTGATTGTGTAGTGTGTTCATTGCTTTAGTATGTGTTCCTCTCCTTTCACAGTATATAAGGTGCATCTCCTTGTTCCTCCATCCTACTGTAGTGAAGGGACAGCAATATTTCCAACAAAACCTGGATGACCCTTTATGTACGGTATCCAGGATATTCTGCAACATTACTGAAACAGCAACCAAAACCCATCCAAAGAAATGAACATATTTCCATGTTAGCAGCACCTGCATCTATATTGAGTGAGCTGTCATATCAGCAAGGACATTGCTCATAATTATTTTATTCAAATTCGCTGTGTGCAAAGTTAAAAAACAAACAAAACACATTTGTCTCTTAGTTAAGTTTGCTGTGAAAGTCAAGATTGTTAAAACTATTGAGCTGTTAGAAAGTTTATTACATATGTTGTCGATTGTGCATGTATATTCCATTCAATAGAAATGAATGACAGCCCCTGCATAAGCAGGTGTGGAAGATTTGAGGCCCCTATAAGTGGTAGCATGACATTACTTGTGATGTATGAACGAGTGCATCATCGTCATGTGTGGGTCTGAAAATCAGCTTCAATGAACCAGACAACATCAGCTTTTATGAACTGTTCCAATAATCAGTCATGTGACATGACATGCCACTCATGTATCAATTTGTTTCATTCATAGGCCACAACCCAAGACAAAAACAAACTTCAAAATGCGTTGCCTTGCAGGTGCTTGTAGTCCCATCCCCCATCCCACTCACTGCAGAAGAAAGTTCCCGTTCCGTGAGAATGTGATATTCACACTTGGACACAATTTTGCAACGTTTCTTATTTCGAGATTGACAGCCCAGCTTTTTCCTTGATCATGACATAATGTGCAAGCACCCTAACCACGGAATTGTGAAACAATTTCCAGTGAAGTGAAATATACGTGTACGAGGGCGAGTCCAAACGTTCTGAGACATTCAAACAAAACCAACAAGTGTTAAGTGTTTTTAAAAAAAAAATTCAACCTAATCTCCCTGCTTTTCAATACACTTCTCAGTTTTCCGAAGCCACCCTGAAAAGCCATTCACAGCAACTTTGAGGTCATCGTTGTCGTCATAGCGCTTTCCACGAAGGTGTTCTTTCAGTTTGAAAAACAGGTGGAAATCACTTGGTGACAGGTCTGGCGAGTATGGAGGGTGAGGAAACTCTTCGAACCCACATTGTCGCACAGCAGCCTTTGCAAGTCGAGAGGTGTGAGAAGAGTCATTGTCATGATAAAAGTGGTAGCAGTCAGCAATCCTCGCCGCTTTTCTTTCAGAGAAAGGCGATGAAGCAAATCAGCATAGTAGGCACCGGTAATCGTCTTTTGACTTTCTCAGTAATCAACAAGGATCACACCCTTTGCATCCCAGAATACAGTGGCCAAAACATTCTTCACTGATCAATTTCCTTGGTGCCGGAGAAGTGGAATGGTGCCATTCAATGGATTGACGTTTTGACACGGGATCATAATGGTAGACCCATGTTTCATCACCCGTGACTCATCTCCTTTCGAATTTATCGAAAACTTCAATTAGCTCTAAATTTTCTCTGGCAATGTCAGTTCTTTATTCCTTTTGGTCAGAATTTGGAAAATTTTGGCACTCAACAAGCAATTGTCTTATTCATCTTATTCATATACGTCTATCTGACAGTGTAAGATTTTCTATCTCCCTGAATCTTCATTGATGGAAGTTGATGGATGTCCAGACCGAGACCTAGGGTCATCACCAAGGCTTGTTCTCCCACTGCTGCCCAACATTTAACAGTGGAATGAATAGCTAGGGCACTTATCCCCATACACTTGTGACGTGCGGTAAGGAATTTCTTGGGGAGTTCTTTTCTTTTAAGTTAAAAAAAACCTTGATGACTACTCGGTACTCGTTCTTTTCCATGTCTGTGTCCATTTGGACCCCCATCCCGTTCAATTGGCTGTCACTAATATATACACATGCACAAAAGTTAAGCGCCACCCACCATATTTGTGAGCTGATACTTTTGGCACTTAATGATGACTATTATAACGAGATGTACGATTGTTATAAGCCGTATATGTAAACCTCATGTGATGCAAAAGTTGTCCCAAAGCAAGTTTATCTTGTGTTCCAAAAGAATATGAGCAGAATGGAATTTTACCGAAGACCAGAAATTGAAGGATTAGAAAACATTGAAAAACTTTTTTTGTCATGTAACTGTCATCATATCAGCAGACCATATCAGGTGTCGCATAGACACCCAAGGGAGTGCAGAGTCTATTGCAAGACAAACGCCAGTAACGTGTGTATGATCCACGGACATTGACCACAACTTTAACTCTACGCCTCATACTCATTACAAGTCGTTGAATGCTTCTCTGAGGCATACGGATCCATTCTTCATGAAGTGCGGCTTCAAGTCCAGCGTGATTTTGAACTGGGGGATCACGATGTCTGATTTTCCGGCCAAGAATGTCCCAGAGATGCTCAATCGGATTAAGATCCGGACTACAGGCCGGCCAAGGAAGAGGCAATAGCTTCTTGACGCAAATAAGCCAAAACTGCCCGAGATCTCTGTGGTCTAGCATTGTCGTCCATGTAAACAGGTCTTGTCTGGAGAGGATGGTTGTCAAAATGAGGGACCATCACTGGGCGAAGAACCGCATCTTGGTATTGTTGGCCATTCAGGTTTCCACGAATTGTCACCAGCGGTAGTTTGCAGCCGAAGGAAACACAACCCCATATCATGACAGACCCCCGCCACATGCTAAGGTCTTCTGGATGTTCCTTTGTGCAGAACGAGTGTTACGTTGCCTCCAAACACGTATTCGACCATCAACAGTTCGTAGCAGCATTCGACACTCGTCAGACCAATGGATCCTTCTCCAGTTGGCCAAGTTCCATCGATTACAGGCACGACACCATATCAGACGATTCCGCATGTGCCTCTCAGTCCAACGTTTGAAAGTTAGTCAGGCTTTGAACGTTTTGACCAGCCCCCGTATCACAGGGTAATCAGAACCAATAAACGTATACTGCCATTTCCCGTGATGATTTCTTTTTTACTGTGTTCTGTCGACATTATTCCTGTGTGTATTCAGAACCAGTCCTCGTTCACACCCACACCCATGTTTACTAGCGTAAATAAGTATCTGTCCATACAAAGTGGTGTAAATGTTATGTTATTGAAAGTAACACCATAATTCGTTTTTCGTCTGATCAATGTTTTATCATTAATTTATTGACAAAACCCATACTTTTACATTTCCACCACAAACTGACGACGTTGAGTGACGCAAACGTCGCTAAAAGGTTCTCCTTGACGCCTGTAGACCGTTGGAGGAGACCCAGATAAAACCTGGACGCATCTGTGAACAGTATTCTGTCCGAGTGTATCTGCTGAACCTCAGATGCTGTCTACACCAAGCTTGGCGTAGTGGGCGTATCGCTGGACGTCGCGACCAGATGTTGTGCCGGTTGCGCGTGTGGTTCTGCCACTAATTGGTCTCAGCCCAGGAATTGTTCCGAGCTGTTAATGTTGTAGTTTGGTATCGATTCCGTAGATGCACTAACCAAATATGGTTGTCTTGTTGACATGGCGTCAAACGTTGACGACCGGAACAGAGAAAAACTATCTTCATTTAGATTACACAAATAAAACATTTTATTCCGTGTTATTACATGATTTATGGACCCGTGAAGATCCGGGGTAGAATAGTTCTTCAGCAGCCCAAGCTTACCGTAAAAGGCGACTATGCTTGTCGATAGAGGCGACTGACCGGATCGGGTTGTCAGGCTCGCTGACTTGGTTGATGCATGTCATCAATCTCAATTGCGTGGATCGATGCTCATGATGTCAATCACTGGATTGTCTGGTCCAGATTCGATTATTTTACAGACCGCCGTCATATAGCTGGAATATTGCTGAGTGCGACGTTAAACAACAAACAAACAAACATGATTTATGTTGCGCCTTCAAAGTTATACATGACGATTATTAATACGAACCACATTACTACAATTAGGACAGTGCTTAGGAACAATAAATAGTATATATGATGACCATGATGTTGCACGTGCATACATGCATACAATCCCATGAGTAAGAAATTCGTCACACATTCACAACGTACGGCGCGAGTGCGGCGTTAAAGAACAACCAAACAACACCAGGGACCGACCACGTTCTGGACGTCTACGTGCAACGTCACGTTGGTCAGATAATCGTATCAGTGTGGTTCACCTGCGAAATCGGGTGTCAACTGCAGCTGTGACAACTCGGGGCATCCCTGGCTTACTTCCGATTTGTGAAAGGAATGGGTGGAATCGATAACTTCCAATTTTGTCGCCACGTCATCGAATTGCACGGCTGTCATGTGAAGACAACATCTGAGGTTTGGGTTGCGAGAAGTTATTTCTCTCCACAGATGAGTCCAGATTACATCACGACAGCAGTGGTGGCCGTCAGCGTGTTTGCCGACATCGGATGGAAAATTACAATCACGCGTGTGTCACATCACTTAACATCAGGACAATACACACCCTCGCGTTGCACGTGTGATCACAGACTTTACTGGACATAAAGAAAAAACCCACACAACCTTGGCCTGCTAATGGGGCTCATGATGTAGATCATGTTACACTCACATGTTGTGTACATGATGGTGCACTCACATTTGTGTAGATGATGTAACACTCACATGTTGTGTAGATGGAGTTACACTCACATGTTGTGTAGATGGTGATACACTCACACGTTGTGTAGATGATGTAACACTCACATGTTGTGTAGATGGTGATACACTCACACGTTGTGTAGATGATGTAACACTCACATGTTGTGTAGATGGTGTTGCACTCACATGTTGTGTAGATGGTGATACACTCACATGTTGTGTAGAAGGTGTTGCACTCACATGTTGTGTAGATGGTGTTACACTCACATGTTGTGTAGATG